TTTAGGAAAAAAAAGACCCAATCTGACCATCAGTATTATTTATGTTCTCGAAATTTCTTTGCCTTTTCCAGCTTTAATTTATAGTTGTGGGTTAGATAAATTTTCTTATGAAGTCTTTTATCTCTCCCGGTCTCCACCTGTTCCAAACTTATTTTGACAAAAAGGCCAGCATCTTGTCAGCCATGAAGGTTGCTGTCCCGACTCCGATTCATAGGCAAATCTCTAATCCACGAGAGATCTTTGCTTCTGTCCAGGTCTGATGAGATGCTGCCCTTGTTTACCCCCACCTCCAGTGGGGGTTCTGATTAAAAAGAATCTTCGGAGATGGTTTGTCAGACAGGGTTCATGTGAGACTCTTAGGAGCCCACATCTCCCACGTCTGTCCAGCTGGAGAACTTCCTGTCGAATCCAGCTACAGTTTTTCTTCAGTGTGCGGATACACTGCACCTCTAATTGTCAGAATCACTTTTAATGGCAGTTCAATGTTTGAAAATTTTCATTTGTCACGGATCTTTGGTTTTAACAGACAAGCCTCCCCCAAATAGTCTGTTAAATTGAAGATTTACTGTCCTTGAAGATGATGTTATAGTGATTCTAATAGTAGCTATTTGTTTCTTCATTTAGATTTGTGATTCCGTGGGACTTGCAAAACAGATTGCATTGCATGCTGAATTGGTAAGACTTTAACTTGGAATAAAATGTAGAGGTAGTTTATATCAAATGAAGATATAGTTCAGTATCACTTGCAATATCTCTTGACATCTGCCCAAATTAATGAAATTTCAGTGTCCAACCTCAAGTCCTGTTCAACTTTGAAATAACAAAAAAAAATGGTTTTTAGAGTAATTATTTAATTATTGTCCATCTCAAAAAAAAAAAAGGTGTGATGATATTAAGTACTTGAATATGTTGCTAATCTCTCTGTTGACAATCAGTGAAATGGAAAAAAAACCCTAAAAACTCCACTGCAGAACCCTCTCACCCAAGAACTATTTTCACAAATAAACTATCAACCAGTGCCTTGCAAGTCACAAGCAGTTCCGATCCAGGGTGCCAAATAGATATTGGCAAGCAAATAATTTGGCTAAGCTTTTTGCAAATGAAGGCAAAACAGAGAGTAGGCAAATCTGCCTTAATTCTTAAAACAAAATCACATAAAATATCTTTTTTATTCTTAAATATTTATCTGTCTTGATCTTAAGAATATACAGGCATTTAGTGACTGTTTGAAGTTGCAGTCGCACTGAAAAAAGTGACGTATGGCCATTTTTCACAACTGTTGCAGCATCGCAGGTCACCTGATCAAAATTCAGATGCTTGGCAACTGGTTCGTATTAATGACAATTCCAGTGTCAGTCATGTGATCACCATTGATAACCTTCTGACAAGCAAAATCAATGGAAAAGCCAGTTTCACTTAACAATCTTGTTACTAACTTAAAAACTGCAGTGATTCACTTGACAATTGGGACAAGGAAAGGTTGTAAAATGAAACAAAACTTATTTAACAGCCGTCTCGCATAGCAATAGAAATTTTGGGCTCAGTTGTGTAAGTTGAGGACTATCTGTATTATACCCACAACCTACATCCTTCTTAATCCTTAAAAGAATGTCGCTTTATTGTCCAAATCAGGAAGTAAAATCTCTTGGAACTATTGCTTCTTTTTTGTGTTGAGGTTACAAGTCTGTATGGGCCAAATGAGGGTGGGGGGGGGAGTTGTTTTCCAAGGTTTGCAAAATGTGTATAAATAAAGTGCAACCTTAAAGCAGGAGGATAGATAGCTATAATTCTGATTCTTGAAGTGATCATTGTACATTCCTGTGAGGAAGGTCTGGGCCCATGTGAACTACCCTTCAACATTCTTTAGCTGGATTTGAGAAGAAGAAGGGTCTTTTTCCTATCCTAGTATATTTTTAAGAAGGTGCCTCTGCATTTCTTCATTTCTTTAGCAGACCCAGGTCAGTTCTAATCAGATATAATTGAGAAGCAGAATCATACAGTGGTTGAGTGTTTTGTGAATAGACAAATTACTATTTGGAGAAACAATTATGTAAACAACCTGGTCTTTTAATCTTTAATTAAATTACTGTGTAGTTCATTTTCCTATTGTATTATTGATATGATATACTGATAATGATGTGAAAGCCAAGATTTTTAACACTTTCCTTAGAAAAGCAGTAAGTATTTTGTTAAAAATGCTTGGAAACCTATATTCAGGTAATTTTTCAGGCAAAACAAAGTAGTAATCCATTCTGTGAAAATAATGTTACTTTTTGGTATTTGGCATTTTCTTTTTTAAAAAATTTCAGGATCGAAAATCATCAGAAAAGCAGAAAGAATTAGAAAGAGAAAAGGAAAAAAAGCAAAAAGAGCTCAATAAACAGAAACAAATTGAAAAGGTATGCATTTGAGTTTTCAAAATAGCCATTTTATTTAATAAACATATTACGTTTCCTCACAATACATATTGATTGGTTTTAGATTAAAGCAGATATTTTTACATGGATAACATTGACGCTAGTACATTACTAGTTGCTAGAACCTGATAAGCAATGCCCTACTTTGGGAGGCCAGGAGACTTGTGACTCACAAGTTGGAAACAGAATACTGAATACTTAGCATGAATCATATTCTTCACAAAGTTTTATTGAACATTGTCGAATGTTTGAAGTATATATAAAGCTTTATGTCCAGATGGATGAATCTTGGTAATTCATTTTTAATGCAGGTAGTCATTGCTTACCATGTCTTGTTCAAAGTTAACATCAGTGCTGTCCATCAGTCACATGATCACCATTACAGTATGCATTGTCCTGTGCCTGACATATTGTTTTTCTTTTTTTCCTCTGCTTGCAAAGTGGACAGGTTGGAGAAGAAAGGATTACAAGAGAGTAAGCAGGACTACAATGGGGAATACATTGGGCTGTTTGCATAATACTCTCATAGCTGCAGCACAAGCACGTCACTGTCAATGTGTATTTCCAATTTGTGTCTATTTATTCTCTTGCAATCCTTTCCTAGCCAATTGTGATCTCTAAACAAGGACTACTTGTAGCATGTGACTTACTGGCCACAATAAATAGTTGCCAATAAGGATATCTTTATTATTTACTATTTAAAGCAATATTCACATAGTTTTACACATAAATCAGTAAATGTATTTTTTTTCAGGATTTAGAAGAGCAAAGTCGATTAATTGCGGCTTCTAGTCGATCCAACCAGAGTGTTGGTGAAGGACAGTTTGTAGTTCTTAGCAATAGCCCATCAGAAGACAGTGATTTGGGTGAAGATGGAAAGAAGAAGCAAGAATCTGATGCGTGAAACACCTTCAGTTAGAAGCCTTTGAACCTCTTATCTGAAATGATAAATTGAAATGTAAATTTACAATTTACAAAACAAATCATGTAAATTTATTTTACATGATCCAACTCTGTATTCTCACTCGTTAAGGTTGATCTTTCTTAAATGGCTCAGTGTAAATATGGATTTTTGTTCTCATACCATAAAGAAACGTAGTGAAATGTTCATGGCTGTAGCAGATTTGGATATTACAAAACTTATTCTGTTTCAATTACCTAGCTGTTCTGGTGACTTAGAAAGTAATTTGTGTAACTTAAGAAGTAGATAGAAAATCTTTATCTTCGGTTTCTTTTCTTTGTTTTCAGAGAGGTTTTGTTTTAGTCTCCTGCAGTAAAATAAGAGAGTCTTGTTCTACTTTTAAATACTAACATTTGATCTCATAACAATTGAGTCATATTAGTCTTCAAAGAGTCCTAAGCCTCTGAACAAAAAGCCAATTTTGATTTCTAAAAACGGCTGGGTCAATAATGGAAGCAGCCTGATAACTTTTAATTAATGCTTTCGATAGGCATGTGCTTGTGTCTAGAGTGTATGAGTTCAAGGAAATCAGTGTCACTCCAATATTGTTTTAAGGTGAAATATGAGAATATCATTTTTACTTGAAATTTTACTGGCTGGTAGTGATCTTGGCTTCTCCTCTTTATCCATAGAGCACTTTTATGGAGGGTGGCAAAGACATTCAACCAAACACTGGAAAGTACTTTGGAGTGTCAATGCACTGTGTATATTTGTAACATTATACAAATTGATTTTTAAATGTCTAGATGAGAATAAAGTGCATACACTTCTAACAGAATTGCCATGATTATTGGAATCAAGTTTTGTAAGTGTCTTCTCATTAGCAAAAGTTGGAGATTATGTTGGTGATAGAAACAGTTGCATGGAAAATCTGTCAGATAATTTTTCTAACACCTGTTGTCATATTTACCTAAATCCACATGCGATAGAAATACATACAAATTGCACACATTTGCTAAATCTGAGAAAAAACAGGCAGGTACTTATAATTCTATATCAGCTTATTGATTCGTGAAAAATGTAGCATGGAGTGATTTTTCATTCCAGTACGAGTATACCATAGATACTGTAAGTTTATCCTCTTTTATATTGAAATGGGTAAGAAGAAATTGTATGGAAATTGGAGGCAGATCCCAGACTTTGGAGAAAAAACTGTTAACGGCCAATTAACCTGGACTGGAAAATCTTTTGAGATCAAGTAGGGATGTTTGTTCTTTGTTCTAATTGCAAGGGAATAAAAGATGCTTGGAGACCCAAGAAATAAAAGAGGAGCTTTGATTGCTCACTGAGAAGTCTCCTGCCAATTTTTGAAAGGTTTCCTTATGTTTCAACTTGAGTATAAAATCGCAGATATGGAAATCATATGTTCAATTCTATTTTATGCAACCTCGCTCAAACTTGGCAATATCTGTTACAATTGTTTATCCACAGTTTACAGCTATGTTTAAGCCACATAATACTATGAAATCATAAAATCAAAGTAAATCACTAGTTCATTTTAAACCAATAGTGTGTATATTCTCTGTAAAGATGTATTATAATGTGAATAATACCAAATGATCTTTATTATAAAAAAGTTCACAGGCTACTGCTCTGGAGTTCGAATGTACCCATTTGCAGTTACTTACAAAATCTAACTTGTATGGATTGTATTCAGTGGCTTTAATTCCCAGGTCATATTTTCTAGCGGGAATGTTCTCTGGGTAGGAAAAAAAAGTATGATTTGGTTGTCTGATAGGTTTATTGCTTGGAGTCAGCAGTTCTGTTCTCGTTCTTCTGAAGGTAAACTCCACTGAACTGAGTGAAATTTTACTTTTGCATACAAAAGTATACGGTATGCGGTCAAGGCACAAATGAACTTGGCAGTTGTGTTCTGTTGCTGGACAAGTGTATTTTCTAAGTTGCCTTCTGTACTGAATCATATTTCTAAGGACAACATTCAAGTCAAAATTGCTATATTTCTTTGAATAAGATAATTAATCTCTGATGAACTATAGAAACATATTTTGCCTGTATTGTAAGCCAGAGACATTCAAATAATTTTATAGGATTGATTTAAAAAATCAGGATTGCTATTTGTGATATCTCAACAAAATTATTACCCTGTTTATTTTTCTTTTGTTTTCATGAAACAAATCACTGAAATCACTTTCTTTCGACAAATACATGGGCTAACTAAGCACATTTCTGCTTGAACATTTTTTTTTCCCTCCCCTGTAGCATAATGTCCTTCACACTCCTGGGGAAAATGAATTGCACACAGGGACATATTTTTCTAATTCATGCATGGATATTGTCAGGCAGTCAGTGATCATGACATGGTGTAGGACTAATCATCCATCATGTAAAAGAGAATGTTCCATAATGAAATCTGTAAACGAACCAAGAGGTTTGAACAAGAAATTGGGATGACTTTTATAATACAGTGAATTAATCAGAAAGTAAAGATTAAGTCTTGCTTCAGTGATTGTGATTTTTAAATTGAAAGTTAATTAAAACTCTTAATTTCTCTTAATATTTGTATTAATATTTAGTGATTGTCTGCTCGATATTGTCAATTGTAAAGTAAAATCTTGATACTAATAAAACAATTTGGGAAAAAAATCAGCGAAATCCAGTCAATTTTAGAGGATGCTTTTCTACAATATTTATGTAAATATTTAGCATTTGTTCTTCAAAGCACATCATATATTGGAAACATATATTTCAAAATACCTTTGTGAAATGCATTTTAAATCTGTCAGTAATGGAAGAATATCCATATAAAAGAGATTCATTTATTGTACTTAATAAAGCAAAACTAACAGCTGTGTCCTATTTTTATTATGTATTTTCTATTTCAAATAAATTAAATATATATACAATAGGTGTAGGCAATACACAAGACAAGGATATACATTTTTTATTACACCTGTAATGTAAAAGACCTCAGTTATTTTGGAAATACATACTTCATTTACAATACTGCTTTTCAAAGAAAACCTTTTGGGGTTGTAAAAGATAATGTTTTTGAAGTTGCAATAAATACACTTGCAATTAAAGGCATAGTATAGGATTGGGCAGTAGAAACCTAGGCTGTTAAGGGATCTCTGAATAGCACACATACAAAATCTAAGACTAAACTTCACTTGGAAAGACAATTTTTTAAAGTTAAATGTAATTTTTAAGAGCCACACAAGAAGTCTTGCTTAAAAATACAAGTACCAAACCAAAAGATCTTCCATTAGTATATACATGACCTACTTTTTTTGTGCCAATTAACACCCCTTACACATGCAAATTGTCTTTCTTCTAAAGGGAATATTCAATAGCACTTTTAAAGAAAAAGTCAAGATTAGGCAGTTTAATTATGCCCTGCTTGTACTTCTTGAAAATGTTATGTGCTAAACAGCATGCAATTATTTCAGTCCAATGTGGGCACCTATGACCAAACGACACACTTTTGTATTTCACGCTTGCTAATTTTAATAAACTCCTTTCAATATTTACAGCTAAGAGGGAAAAATAATTGCAGTGGATTTTGTGAGCATATGAAGGATTGCAAGGAGAACCCCGTCTACTGATAGAATATATATTATAGGGAACCCCTTTTTCCCAGACCAATTGAAGTCTCCATTTAAATCAGAAGATAAAAGAGTATCACAAGGTTGGGGACATCAGCTCCCAGAGTACATCATTTGAGTGTCACATGTTACACCTGTGTGGTGTTAGATATTTCAAATTAATATGGTTAGATCATATGTATATCTATGCAAATAAAAATGCCATAAATCAGATCTGCAAAACTTGAGGTTTGATGGTGTTTTGTTCCATTAACAAAACAGTACTTTTTTGTACTGTCATATAAAGCAGGCAGACATTAGTACCAACTAGAATTCTATTTTAAACATGCTTTAATATCTTCGTTCATTTATATATATAGGATATCTTCCAACTGCACTTTTATGCATTTGACTTAGTAGATTCCTTTTAGGTGTCCTTGTCCATAGAGGTCATACTCCTTATAGAGGATATATTCTTTCAAGCGGTTTGGTAATGGCAGAAATGTCAGGAAGACAGGACAGCGCAGACGTAAACGTCCTAAGCATTTCCGGATTCTCAGACGGCAAAGATGTTGCAAAGAACGTGTGTTTGCTGAAAATAAAATAATAGGTTTTGTAATATGAATTCTCCACTCCTACATCTGTTTCTAACTCATAAGAGCGAGCTTGATGAAGAGATAAAAGTGACGGGAACCATGGAAAGGGAATAATCACATTATCTTCCTGTTTGGATTATTAACCTGGTCCCTATTGGGTAGGGAGGGGCCCTCAGAATATCTTTTGGTTCACTGAGGATTATTGAAACAATCTGATGGATAAAGTTGCTCAGTTGTGCTCTGACCTGGACTCTGAAGCGCCCTTCCCTCCAAACTCTACTGTTGTTTAGCAGAGCTGTGAAGGTCTGGTCTTCACATAGGCTTTTGGCAAGGAAGAATGAGACTCCTTACTTCATTGCACTTCTAAGCTTTGGTGTTTATCTTTTATTGATTTTATTATAATTTCTTTGATTGATTGTTGTGAGCCCAGAGGAGTTGAGTTTTGACACTGGTACAGTGTTGAAGATTTAAGGGAGGGCCTTGGAATAAAGCATGAGTTAACTCCTTCCACAAGTACCTTCATCCAGAAATTGGATACAAGTCTGATTGGTATCTTATAATACATTTAATATGGGATCTTCATCCATCATAGGAGGTAGTATTTGTGCCCAATGTGGTCTTTATTCAATGTGACAAGTTTAAAATTGTTTTAACTGATAATTGCAATTATAAAATTATATGAGGAAAATAGATCTAGAAGATATTTTAGAAGATAGTACTTTCTCCTATGCCTTAGCACTTTCAGTGCTGAGGAGGCAAAGAAGAAAATACTACTTACTAATCACTAATAAGTGGTATTTAAAGAGATTACTCTGTGTAAAGATTGTTTATGCTATGTATCAGTAGATTATTGTGATCTCTCCTTCAATAAAGTAAAAAAAATCCAGTCATATTTAGTAATGGGGAGATACTGACTGTCAAAATACTGTAGGAACTTAAAACCCACCCCTCTCCTAGAAAAATGAAATATCCTGGGAAATATTGAAAAGGCAGAATATTATGTTTTCTGAATAAGAAATGGAGAAACATTTTTACACAGAAAACAGACTCACTCTTAATAGCCTCCACCTTTGTCAATGGGCCATTAAAGACCTGGGCTAATCTATTCTATATAACAAAGGTAGGGTTAGCCTTCTACAGAAACTCTCTACAAGACACCTCAGAAAATTATATCAGCCAGCAAGTCAACCAAACATGGACTCAAAGCACAGCCTATAGAGTTGCCCTTGCATGGTCCCATGGGAGTCTGACAACCAATCAGAATACAAGCTCAATATCTAAGACCAGAAACGGCATAAAACCAGGGGCTTTCAGCATCTCGGCCCTTTTTTCTTCTTCACCCAACATCTTGAAGTATGTGATCCCCCTTTTCTGTTCAGGAGCTCAAGCCATGTTATCCTGTTCCCCATTAAACCACCTTTCCAAGAAGCCTCCATGTTTCCAGTATCTTTTCCCCCCATTTGGAACTGAACCCAAAATAGTGTTTCTTCCAACAATACAATGTTGAAAGTATTTCTTAAACCATTGTTTTAAATTATATATATTATTAATATATACACTGGAAGTCTTTAAGAGGATGTCAGATAGCCATTTGTCTGTAATGGTATAGGGTTTCCTGCCTAGGCATGGGGTTGGACTAAAAGACCTCCAAGGTCCCTTCCAACTCTGCTATTGTATTGTATTGTATTGTATTGTATTGTATTGTATTGTATTGTATTGTATTGTATTGTATATTTATCAAATTGAGACCTTTTGGTTTATTCTAACCATAGAGTAGAATGGATCCATCAATTTGAAAATTAGAGTGCATTGTGTCAATTTATTTGACACTTACATTGTGTCAATTTACATTTTATAATATCTGCTGATAACTTTGACACTTACACAAAATTGCATTGATTTCTGGCCACAGTTTTTGTTCTCGAAGAGTATCTTGAAGTTTAGAGCATATTCTAATATGATCTACATAGTCTAGCATCACTCGCACTACCTTCCCGGACAGGTGCTTTAACCATGACAGTGTAATCACTTCACAGAACTAAGAAAAAGAAACAGGAACAAGAGAACACAGCATTTAACGCCTTATATTATAAAGTGCCCGATGCATCCCAGGCTAAATCAGCAGCGAAACGAATAACCATACATCTAATACAATTTCACAAAAATACCAAGCAGACGCCTCTGAAATAATTGAACACTTGCCATTTATTCTATAGAATGTCTCTGCTCGATGCATGTTTAAAGGTTATGATCCTTTTCTGTTTTCAAAACCAAACAAATCCCACCGTCCCTTAAATACTGAGCAATTTATAAGTACCAATCAGCATATAAAGGAAGGATTCATCTCCCCCAGGAAGTACTTACCATTGTGTCTTTTATAACAGTTGAGGTCCACCCTTCAAATAAGTACTTGGAATGCTTGCTGTCTCCATGAGGACAATCAAAACAGCTGGAAACATTGTATCCATAATTCAGCAACATCCTTAACAGGACTTCATCTTTCAGTGTGTACTGTAAGGCCGATGGAAAATGGGTGGTATTGATTCTACAAAAGTAATTCACGTTGGCTCCATGGCGAAGCAGGAGACTGATGAGTTCATAGTTACCCATTCTCAAGGCCACTTGGAGGCAATTAACGGGGTCTTGATTTGGTAGGGCTCCGGCATCCAGGAGCAAATGAGCGGACTCAATATCCCCATTAGAGACTGCAAAATACAGGGCTGACCTTCTCTCATCATCGTAGTTTTTCTGAATTCTTCGATGCAACATAAAATTAGCCTCAAACCCAGATTTGAGTAGAAATTCAAGACACTGAGAATGTCCTCCTGCTGCCGCCGAGTGAAGTGGGCTGATTCCACTCTCCTTTATGGCACTGATATCCGTGACTGGGATCAAAATCTGTAAAGCCCTAGCAATAAGATAAAGATAAACCTTCTTTCAAACAAACCATTCAGACATACCTCAGGGCTTCCTACCAGAAAAGGCAATGAGATCACCATAAAGAGGCAAGAATTGTAAGCTTCCATAAGAGAAATTATCAACTTTTGGGACATTTAGTAAAATGCATATAAAAAGTCAAGAATTTTTTTTCAGTGGGGAAAAAAATCTTTTAAAATCTCAGCAAATAATAAAATGGGAGAAGAAAGGGAGAAAGACAAATGCAAGCTGATTATTTCAAGTAATTTTATAAAGAAAAATAAATTCCTTAAGGTGCGACAGTAACGGCAGTCCAAAAGAAACAAAATGGTGTTGACCCAGTCTATTCGGGTCTATATTCTTCTATATTCACAAGCTTAGCTATGGAAGACTGTGTGACCTGACAAATGCGCGCAGGAACAAAAGCGCGCCAACGAAACCGCAGTGAGAAAGCTTTTGTTGGCGCACTTCTGCGCTCATTCGTCAGCGCGATTTCGACCTCGCGGTTTTCTCACCACGGTTTCATCTGCGTGCTTTTGTCGAGCGGCGCATTTGTCGGTGAACCGGAAGACTGTTCTAATATCAACAGAATATTCATACTCACATAAAACATGAAGAACGTATGTTACTTGTAAAGATGTCTGACAGATACAAAAAAACCCTATCATTTGGCCTAACTTCTACCAATGTTTTTGGGTCACAGAACTAGGACAGTGAAATGCATTAAAAAATTGACTTCCTTTCACAGATGTGTAGAAAGGACAATGTCAGCAACTGAACAGTGCATAGAAAGCTTTTTCAACCTAGTTTTTGAAGATTAAGATGACTTTTCAACCTTGTAACTCAGGATTTGACAAACAATAAACTTTTCTCTCATCAGAGATATGATAAACCACAAAGTAGAATAGATTACTTTCCCTGCCTCCCCCTAGTTTCATAAATGGAGTCAGTATATTCTAACTCACAAGAAATGACCTCTATAAGCAGCTCTATGGATAGGAAGATGACCGGATTGCTTTGGTACATTGGCATCAGCTCCATATTCTAGTAGGAGAGAGATGGAATCTGGGTTTCCTCCTCCAGCAGCCTCAAATAATATAGATGCAGAATCTGATGCTTGGGAAAGGATGTTGGCACCTATTGTGAAAACAGCAATAAATGTTTAATAATAAATAATCAAAAATAATACGGTGTTTGTGTGTTTAGTTTATATCAACATAAAATTACTACGTTGTTGATATCAAAGAAATAGAATTGTTCTGTAGATCAGTATATTTAATGCAGAAGGATTTATACAGAGCATTTCACCTTTGCGCAGTAGGAGTTCCAGAATTTCTGTATGCCCATTCTGTGCTGCCAATGCTAGAGGGGTGAGCCCATATGAACTTCGTGGATCTGGATCTGCTTTCGACCAAAGCAATAATTCCACCATATCTTTCAAGCCTAATCTGGCTGCCTCATGTAAAGCTGTCCTTTTGTTGATACACTGTAGATTGGTATTGGCACCAAATTGTATCAGTAAGGAAGCAATTTCATACGATTCATGTTTAATTGCTGTAAAATATTAAAATGCAAAAGAGCAGCATTTGAAAATGTCATTTAACTCTCAACTATTAAATTATTCAATCTCCACTGAGCATATCAGACTGAACCTTTGTTTAGCAGTCTCACTTGTCGCTTGTGTATGATTAAAAGAATCACATAGCAAAATGAAGTGCTAAACTTTAAAATAAACCTGTTATTCAGTGTTTTAAAAAAAGAAGAGATAAACATTTTATAGTGCTGTTCTTCATTCACATTTAGAAAAATTGTCTTTTTTGGATTATGAATCACTAGGCAGAAAATACCTTCCCATGTAGGCAACTATATCCTTAAATTTGGCATGAAAAACCACTTTCAATCAATGCAAGCTATCATTATTTTATAACTGGGGATGTTTAATTATTGTCAGACAAACAATACAATTTGGTTTACCAATAATTAAAGCAGAATCTTCTTCTTCATTCTTAGTATCAGGATCAAACCCATTGATTAGCAGGACATTGACATTTTCCACAAGGCATTTGTCCACAGCTAGAAACAGAGGAGTTTCTCCTTTCAGGTTGGTCCGTTGCCAGACAGTAGGGTGTGAGGCTGAAAGAGACAGTTTTGTTGGAATTGATAACTTAACAGATGAAATTGATGAGAATCACACCTAGTCCTGAAAGGGACATTACCTTTCAAAGTAATTTCTAGAATAGTCTTGTTTGGTTGTACTGCTGCTTCATGAAGAGGAAGCCAACCTTGAGCGTCTACTTCCTGAAAAGCAGGTCCATTCCTCGTCAACTGAAGTAAAGACTCTTCTTCACCTGTTATGAGTATGAAAGATCTAGAATTTGTGCTCTTTAAACTCAAAGACCACTTTGTTTTAGTAATAAGTAACAAACTCTTATCAAAATAATAAAAAGCTGGAGGTGGTAGTTTTAATTCCTCTGCACATGAGGGATGACATCAACTAATTGAGATCACTTGTGTTTTTTTATAAATACCCAAGAAAATTGAACTTATTACTTAACTGTCCGAATGGCAGTGATGATCTTTCTGTAATCTGGAGTTGTTGTGAAACAAAAGCTGCAAACAGAATGCAATAGTATTTTAAAAAAAGTCAAATAAGCCAGAAATATTGTCATATCACAGTGAATTTCAAACTGCAAATAATGGTGAAAAAAGAGAAAATATTTAATATGTATATTTAATGTACTGGTGTTTCATGTAGAAAAAACAGGTCCTATACACCTAACGAATAAGCTTCTGGGGTATTCTGGAATTGAGAATAGTTTACCAAACTCTTTGACTTGAGTTTATATGTCTTGACAGTTACCTGCGCTTTTAACTGCTACCAGAGTAGAAATGTCACTCCCTAGTGCTTTTTATTATTATTTTTTGTATCCACATGGTAGTTGTATCTGACTTAACATGCCAAAACCCATATATGTGGAAGTTTAGTGAGACCCATTGATGTGATTTGCTCTTCTTTCTCTGGGCTATAGAGAATTTGACTCAAGGCATGTCCAACCTGAATGTTATAGTCAAGCCAAAATATCCAATTCACTAGTTGCAGGGAAGATTTCCCTTCAATCACATTTGAAACCCTTAAACACTAGGATTCTTGTGGGCATGTCTAGTTGGGAAAAGGGCCCAGTTTAAAGGTATTTAGCATGTATGTGTGTAGATGTGAAAGCCCGAGTTTGTCAAATTCTGCCTTTATTATTTCACAAAGAGCTCATATGTTTCTCTTTCTGCTTTCTATGGCTGAAAACTATATAAATCGGTACTTCTCCTATTTCCCCCCTCTATTCTCTCAACTCTGTCTTTTTCTCATTGAATTCAGAGCTCTACTCTGTACCTTAGGTCTTCCTGTCATTAAACAACCCAAGTGCCATTCTTCTTGCTTTTTTCTCATTGAATGGAATAATTGCATTTCATTGCAATAGTGACTGTTTCTATTTCTTCTTTGCTCCTAAGAGTCTCAAGAATGGCTCCTAAATGATTTTTAAAGTGTGAATCAAACTCTTATGGTTAGTGCAACAAAAGGGGGAAATGGTCAAATATGCAATTGGAGAGCAATCCTATTAACTGTATTTTATTGTAATGAAAGTTCAAGAACATGAATGTTCTAATGTTATGTTGCTTTGATTCTGCATTGTGGCTTTTGGAAAGTAGCCATCATGGGGACCTTGGCCTGAAACAAGTTGTGTCCTTCTGTTCTTACTAAATCATGAAGAAAGTGAAGTCACAGGAATTTATCACTGTGGGAGAAAACGAAGCAGGAAAACTTGACACTTTCTACTGATTAAGAGTTCACAATATTTTAGAATAAGGCATTGGGGATTGGATGATAGAAATTATCTGAAAGGATGAGGGGAATACCTACCTTTCCCTCACTGTAATTAAATATGGTAATGCTTAGGAAAATAGCATTTAGTAACTCTGTTTATTCAACTAAAAAAATAGCTCCATAGACAAGAGATGAGCAACAGGCAGTTCATGACCTCCCCTGTGCCTTATTTTTCATTGATTTATTTACTGCAGTCCCTAGAGCCGGTTCCACCACAAAACCGCGGATGACAAAATCGCGGTCGACGAAAGCGTGCATTTGACGTCATCACAGCGCGACGAAAACATCGTGCTGTGATCGAAAAATGTAAAAATAAAGCGAAAACCTTACCCTAACCCCCCCAAACCTAACCCTAAATCTAAGCCTAAATCTAACCCTAACCCTAACCCTTAACCTAACGCTAAACCTAACGCTAACCTTTAACGTAACGCTAAACGTAACCCTAACGCTCTAAAGCTAACCCTAACCCTTAACCTAACCCTAACCCTAACCCTAACCCTAAACCTAACCCTTACCTTTATGTGAATCGGCTTGCTTTAATTTTATTTTATTTTCCAATTTTTAATTTTTTTCGTCACGCTGTGATGACGTCAAATGCGCGCTTTCGTCGATCGCGCTTTTGTGGACCGCGGTTTTGACGGGTCATGCCTAGAGCCACCAGAGATCAATCTGCCAAACTTTGGTGACAGGGTGCCCAAAAACAGGAGTGGCACAAGTTTTTGTATCCCCTCCCCTACAAACTGAGAATAAAACAGGATTAATAAACTTATTTGACAATAAAAAAGAAATTTAAAATAAAAATTAAAAAAGGAAAATAACAAGTCTGTCCCTCTGATAAAATCATCAGTCACTTCATTATCACTATTCATATAGATCTTGGCTACCAGAGTAGGACATTTCTCCACATTTGTAAAATTGCTGCCTACCCTTCTTTAGAGTGAGAAAGCGGAAGTTCAATACTTTGCTTTAATAAAACATTAAAAACAAGAACAGAACAGACCATGCTAAATACATTATAATTGGCATCATGGAAAATAAAATAAAATAGGTACTTTATAATTTATACATTTATGTCAATCTTTTTGGGACAGAGATTTTTCATATTAAATGGGCACTAGCCACATTTATAAATAAAAATATGTCTTGTCCTAAAGGTACAAAAATCATCACATAAACATACAAAATATGGAAATCCCATGCCTGTAACAATATTCTGTGAACAGTTGCATAGCATTCTGTGAAACTATCTATTTCAAAAATTACATAGTTTCTGTTCCAAGAAACATTTTAACAGATGCTAGGAACAATATATCAAAGGCAGGGCACACCTGTCACTCTTTGCAATAGTCACCGTCTTGCTCCCGGGTATGTCATGCAGGCTTTGCTGAATGACAAGCTGCATAGAGATGTCATCCTCGGCTTCCTCATCATGCATTTTTGTAGTATCGTACAGGTTAAAATCACATATCTTAAATTACAGAATGAGGTGAGATTAAATGTTATGTTGCATCTTCTAGAAATATCAGTAGCTAGAGACATAGAAATATATAATGGTAAACAAAAGGACTTCTTAACTGTCCTGTCTCAATCCTTTTTTGAGCATTAACTTGACAGACACCAAAACCATCAGGATCACACTAGGCAGACCAGGTTATCAATTTGGCTTGTTTTTGCTCCTCTTTCTGAGCACATATCTGTGCCAAGGAAGTTGGAACCCAGAGTTCAAGGGCTCAATTCTTCCTCATGCTTCATTCTCCTATCTTTACTACCCCCACCTTTGCTCAACATGTTCCTACTGAGATCTCTTTTGCATTGCCCTTCCTCACTCTGCTTATATTTGCTGTATGTGTCAAGAAAGTGCTGGGTCATGTACATTAAAAAGTAACCATTCCGCTGAAAGCTGCTCAGACTAAATGGAAAGAGATGCAGAACATCTGGATTTGATTAACAAACATGGAATATCATTTGCAATGCGGATGTTTCCTAGTAAAAAAAAAATCACTAGCATTTGATTTAATAGTCTCTTACTGTTCAGGAACCTCTCTCTGTTGTACATTAAAAATGGCTTACACCATAATGACAGAATTAGTGATAGAATTAAGCCGAAGTGGAGCATTTTAACTGGCATTGTTTTCAATTATTTTTCCCCATTAAAATCAATGGCATTGAAATATAGTTTCATTTAGCTGCATCAAAATAAATGCATAAATACATGAATACATATTGAAAAAGTTTTAAAAGTTATTAAGCAAAGTTTATAGGGCACAAGAAAATCACAAAACACCTTTTGTCTTTAGAATGCTAACACATAAAAAGCAAAACATGCAAAATGCAAACACACACCCACTTGTGTTACTCCTGGAATAGTAAAAAACAACATTCCAGAAATGTCAACATTTAACTTTTATTATATAGAAATAGCTTAGGAAGCTAAGCTTTGGGAGAACTGACTTTTTATAATGACAGCACACATTTTCCTCACCTTTCTCCCACATTTGAAACACAGACTGCTCACTCTAAGTGTCAAAACCAAAATGTGATGTTTGATGTATTGAAAAATGATCCCGGACTCATTGCATCATTGCAGCCATTAATAACTCACTATAAATATCTGACTGTAAGGCATTCTCTCTTGCAGACAAGACATATGGATTAAATGAGGGTCAGCAAATGAATAACTAAAAGTATCCAAAGAACAGGCATTTAAAAATCAGACAGTAATAACTGTTAGGAAAATTTAATTCATTTCAGGAAATTCCTAAATACACGGCATATAATTAAAGCAGCAGCAAGAACCTGGGAAGTTGTTCAGTACCAGCTAAGTAGTCATATATAGAAAAACATGAAGGTCATCGATTTATTCATTACTAGCCCTGAAGTTAATGTTTACTCTTAGCAATAGCAATAGCACTTAGACTCATATACAGCTTCACAGTGCTTTGCAGCCCTCTGTAGAGGATTGCATATGAATTGATTTTGGGGAGAGAGTTCAGTTCAAATGTTAGCAAATATAAAATACACATCATATCAGAAACCAAAAAGCCTATTTGCAACAACAGAATCCAGGTATTATTATTCATTAAAATTGACCAAAACTATGGAAACCAGACGTACATCTCTGGTACTAGCAGCCATTATTGTATAAATAGGAGGTGCACTTGAATAAAATAAGAAGTGTTAAGGAAATACCAATTTTGCAGAGAACGTCTAGGATATTCTCTCAATCACGGAACTTGAAAGGCAACTTTATTTTCCATTAAATAGTTCTACACTGCCCCTGCACTCCAGTTAAGCATGTTGCAAAAACAAGGCTGCTGTGCTAAAACAGTCCATAAATAAAAATTGACTTCTTGTTTTTTCTGTGATACCTGCTAGCTTTAGATTGTAATGATGCCTCAATACACAACACATATTATTGATTATGCTATAATAACAACATTTCCACAAGATGATCAAGAACTAATTCCAGCTATTCTGGGGTAAAAATATGTGCCATCCGCAATAAGTAGCAAAGTTTTATATATATTTTCAAAAAAAAAATATGCATGCAAAAGATGAGGAAACATGGCTGCAAAAGAATGATCCACTGAGGATATTGTGTCCAGCTGGAGATGAAGGGTTAAGGATTTTAATATAATCCATCTTCCAGAATCTCTCTCTCTCCAAAAAAGCAGAGTTGTCCAGAAAGCAGAAATCAACACAGACTAAATAAAATGTTTTAGATATTCCAATGTTAAGAGTTGAAAGGAAGTGACAACATTTTTGAGCAAAAGGAAATTTATTTTTCAACAACTTCAAAATGAATTATGATGGGCTAAATAAGATATTTTGCATAGTAAACACTTTTCTTATAAAAGAACAGAAGTAAAAACATCAATAAACAAGGGTGGGTTCAATTTATTGTAAAATATTGTTACCAATTTGAAAGTCTAAATGATCAAAATATTTAGAAAGTTCTAGGGAAAGATATGAATATGGAGTATAATTAGGCTCATCTGGTTTGGGTTCTATAAAATTAGTCATCCAGCTGACAAAGTAGAGCAACTCCTCTCTTGATCCAATGCTGGACTGGCTGGTCAGTTAACAACTTCATTGCAATGACAAAGTTAGTTGAATGCCCAGTTGTTGAAAGGACTCCTTTGCGTTCACTTGTCTTGTACAGCGGACACACATAAGCATTTGATTTCTTGATCTCTGATGTTTTGGCTGCAAGGGAAAAAATTCTCTAAGGTGAAATAACTGAGAATAAAATGAAATAAAAATACTGAATGCTTACAAACTGCACTGCAGCACGATGGAGTACAACTGAAGGAAAACAATCACCACACACATTGCATCTCTTGAGGTGGTCAATTAAACATGTGACTATAAGTGAAATATTAGGGATTCTTATACTTTTCTCTAACATCTTAGTTTTGAGTATGATGGGATTCCTTTACATTATTTTCATGTTTAAAACATCCCTTTTTGACAGAAGCAACTTGGGAACAAAATAACATTATAGTTAAAAACTGTTTAAGTTCAAATACTAACATAAAAAGGGGAGTGGGAAAATGCCTTGATTTAGTGCCTAAAGTTCAATAGCAATGCTATCTGAGCGGTTCCAGAGATACAGACTGAATTAACCAGCACCACCAAAAAGGATGAATTTTAATTCTTAAATGCCTTCAATAAATATAATGCCTTCTGAAGAACATCTGAGATTGGATTGATTTTTATGGGAGGAAATATCTGGTCCAAAGTGATTTAGGGCTTTAGAAGTCAAAGCAATACATTAACTAGTACCTAGAAATAAATGTCAGTCAAGCTGTCTTTGAAATTTGTTTGAGGTTTGTTTAAAATAATGATAAATATCAAAGAATCCTTGTCTAGAATCTTGATGTCATGTTACAAGAGAGATTTCTTGTAATAGCCAATGACCTTACATGCAATATATTAAAGATAAAGATAAAGGTTTCTCCTGTCCAGTCATGTCTGACTCTATGGGGTGGTGCTCATCTCAGTTTCTTAGCCAAGAGAGCCAGTGTTGTCTGAAGATATTTCTGTAGTCATGTGGCCAGCATGAATGAGGCCAAAGGAATGTTGTTCTCTTTCCACCAAAGTGGTACCTATTTATCCACTACTTGCACTTACATGCTTTTGAAATGCTAGGTTGGCAGGAACTGGGGTAAGTAATGGGAGCTCACCCTGCTGCATAGCTCGAGTGAGTCAGCTTTCTAGTTGACAAGCTCAGTGTCTTTAACCGCTGAGCAAGTGCCCCCTTGCATGTAATATATTACAGTAATGTAAACAGCAAGTTCAAAATTTATATTGAAAGACTATGAGGCCATAAATGGCATATTAACATTTAAAAGTAGGGACCTAACAGCCCTGCCAATTAATTGTTTGCATTTGATACTGAAAGACCATAATGAAACCTTTGTAAATAGTTACACATAGTAGGTACATAAAAAAAGCTAATTTACAACAATTGATAGATTTAGTACATATCCACATGTTCTCCTATGGATCACTCCTATGAAACACTTAAGTTGCAACAATGAGTATTGGAGTTACACACATACATGTGATATTCCTGTCAATCTCCCCATCACAGCAATGGCACCAGTCAGCTATCACCACCACACTGGTCACCTACACAAAGGAGGCTGCATTGAAGCAGCTTCTACCACCCTATCACCATAGATCAAGAGCTCCAGGTGATCTATGTGAAAGCCAATGAAATGGTCCAGAACTATCAATACTTTAAAATTGCTTCTGCTAGAACCATATCTCACTATCACATAAGAGATAGCAATTGGTTCTTATTTTTCCCAGTTGGCATGTAGGAAAATTTTAGTGGGAAGGGAAATGAAAATATACAGTGGTCCCTCAGTACTTGTCATTAATTGGCTCCAGGAGGCATGATGACTACCAAAAATGATAATACCAAACAATTTTTTCCCATAAGGAATAATGTAGTGGGTTATAAATCAGTCGACACTGATGATGTGCTAGCTTGTGCATTGAGTACCAAACAAACGATGAGAACTGGGACATTTTCACATCAAAATGTGTTGAGGTCCAAATTCAATGAGTTTCAAAGCAGTTGAGTACCAAGGTACCATTGTATATAGATGTATATAGAAATATAGTTTGCTATGCTGGCAACAATACAATTGATTGTATTATACCTGGATGCTAGCTATAATGATGTTTCTTTATTATGGCTAACATCTAGATGTAAAAAATAAGAGTTCTGATGTGAACAACTTGAAAGGAAGCAGCTAGGACATCTTACTATGTAACTTAAACCTTGTAAAGTAATCGGTAATCTAACATTAAGGAATCAAATCCACTAATTTGTTGCAAGAGATACGGGATTGAACATTTTGAAATAATTATTGGTCAAAAATCCACTTACCTGGTTTTATCCAAATAATGGGCATCATGTCAAAGAGAATTTTGGGATGTTGTTCACCTAGGAGCCCTCTGGTGGAAAAAAAAAACAACAACTGTGGAAAACTAACATAGTACAGTTCAAAAGAATGAAGCTTTATGCAGCATTACATATTTAGGAAAAAGAAGAAAACTATAGCTAGTCCAGTCATCATAAATTTGATCTTCTACTATAAATTAAAGATTAGTGCTTCAGCATAGAGTAGTTATGTTTGTGAAGTTATTAGTGAATGCCACTTCTTATTCAATTCAGTGGAGGGAAATCATCTGAGCAAATATTAATAGACAGATGATCCCAGTTAGAGAACATCCAGATGTTAGAAGATGGGAGTATAGAAGAATGTCTTCATATTACTTGTGAACTGGTAAAGAAGTGTACAAACCAGTGGTGGGTTGCAGGCGGTACACCCTAGTACGAGCATGCCGGTGCCTGCCCGGAGCACCGGGTACCGTT